TGTCAGATCTGAAAGAATAATTTTCTATTTGTTTTATTTTGGTTTTTTACTTCTCCTCCTGAGTCTCTTTCCCCACATTTTGCTGGATTGCACATCTGATAATACTTTGCAATCAAATTAAGGAGGCAAGATTCCTTCTAGGAACATCTGAAAGCGTACCATTGTGGGGGCAGAGATTCTCACTTCAGAGTGAGAGAGCACTTGCTTTTTAATGCATTTGCATGAGTTATTTCTCAGGGTAAAATATGTACTTGGGTCAACTTATGCTAGCATATTGGAACAGCTGAATATATTCATGCATCCTAGTTGAAGTGGGAAAACTTGCCACCATGTGATGAAACCACATTAGGAGCTTGTTCACAAAATCAATTCTCCTAAAATAACACAGCCAGGGCAAACTTCTTGCATCTCTCTCTCTCTCTCTGTGTGTGTGTGCATGTGTGCACATGCCAGTGGTAGGCAGGGACGAAAGCCAAAATGAGTGGCGCAATGGGCATAAGTCTTATATTTTTACTGTTGTGTATATTCCAGCAACACCAAAGGGTTATGCACCAGCCAGCCACATCTTTCCATCTTCCATTCAGGCAAGCAAAACACAGGTGGACCAGAGTTCAAAGCAGTGCTGGCCCACCCATGAGGCAAAGTGAGGCAATTGCTTCAGGCAACAGGATCCACAGGGACCGCATATTCCAATGTTGATCTCCCCCCTTCACACTCTCTTGTTCCTGATGTAGAGCTTCGCTCACCCCTTCTTCACTGGCAGAGAGTGTTTGTGCTTTGCCCCTGGCAGCAAAATTTCTTGGGCCAGCCCTGATTCAAAGATACCTTGCAGTCAGGCCAAAGCACTCAGGCTGGGTGGGTTCAGAGCCGGGTCAGTAAGGGGTGAGGCCTGGTTAGAAGGGGAGGGTGCTGAGGACTGAGCAGAATAGTCTGGAGGGCTTCATTCCCTTCATAGGACAAAGGTTTCCCACCCCTGCAATGGAAGAGGCTACTGTTACCTCAGGACTAAGAATACTGCCCCTTGCAGTTTAAAAGGCCATGGGTTGTTTAATTAGCCGAAGGCCTGGAAGAAGAGAAATGTTTTTGCTGGTGCCTAAAGATACGCAAAGGGACGTGGGTGGCACTGTGGGTTAAATCACAGAGCCTAGGGCTTGCCAATCAGAAGGTTGGTGGTTTGAATCCCCGTGACGGGGTGAGCTCCCATTGCTCAGTCCCAGCTCCTGCCAACCTAGCAGTTCAAAAGCATGCCAAAGTGCAAGTAGATAAATAGGTACCACTCTGGCGGGAAGGTAAACGGTGTTTCCATGCGCTGCTCTGGTTCGCCAGAAGCGGCTTCGTCATGCTGGCCACATGACCTGGAAGCTGTACGCCGGCTCCCTCGGCCAATAAAGCGAGATGAGCGCCGCAACCCCAGAGTCAGTCGTGACTGGACCTAATGATCAGGGGTCCCTTTACCTTTTTAAAGATACACAATGAAGGTGCTAGGTGAGCCTCTCTGAAGAGAGCATTCCACAAGCAGGGAGCCACCTTCAAAAAGGCCTGTTCTCATGTTGCCACCCTCCAGACCTCTCACGGAGAAGGTACATGAAGTGTTGGGAATTCCATTCCTCCCACACTGCAGATGTGTGGGATTGTTACATGTCACATGTCTGTTTACCTTCCAGCACAGATTGTTGGAGTCTTGTGAGCGGAACATCCGCTCTGTATTGCTTTTGTGTTCTCTCTCTCCCTGAGAAGAACGACAAGGAGAGAAGCCATGTTTTCTTCATCCTGATTTATGTACAATAAACGTAGCCTGGTGTCCACGCCTCGAGCCAGATCTGGTGTGTTTACTCTGCTGAGTAACATATGCTCATGCATGCCAGCATGAGTTGCAGATGCACGTCAGAGGATGACTGATGGATCTCCGCAGCGGCAAGGCTGAGAAGGGAGACGCTCCAGCTGGGGCCTGTCCAGCGGGCTTTCCATCCCATGGTTCCAACATGAAGAAGGGACTCAGATGGTGGTTGCAGGGTCTGGGTTGTTTCAGATAGGGAGAGGCAGTCCTTGAGGTACTGCAGTCCTGAGCTATTTAAGGCTTAACAGGTCAAAACCAGGACTTTGAAGAGAGCCTGGAAACTAACTGGAAGCCAGTGGAGTAGGGCCAGGATTGGTGTTATATGCTTAAACTGTCTTACCCCAGTGAGCAACCTGGCCACTGATTTCTTCCCTTAAAGACCCTCTAAAGGACTTAAGGGATACCACACACCCCTCCTTTATTCATTTATTTATTTTTAGACATTACTGAGGGATAGCTCTGCTGGTGAGACTCTTAATCTCAGGGCCATGGGTTTGAGCCCCAGATTGGGCAAAAGATTCTTGCATTGCAGGGGGTTGGACTAGATGAACCTCATGGTCCCTTCCAACTCTACGATTCTATGATTCTTTGATTGTTTTAAAAGATTGGGATAAATAAAAAAAATGATTAGATGGCATTCAAGTGAACATTTGCACACATGCACCCCACAACACCTTCAAACCTGCTCTGGGAATGCATGAGGGGAAGGACAGGGGAGAACATTCTATTGCACTGATGGAATGTTCTCTGTGGCACTACACTGCATACAACCCCACTTGCAATGAACTATATAACACCACGAGCATCTTGATGATTGGTGTCATGATTCTTTGCTGAAATTTCTTGTTGCGGGGCTGCTATTTTCAACAGAGTAAAAGGGTCAAAATCATCCCTGCTCTGAAATGATTGAAACTGATGTGGAGAACACACCAAGAACGATAACTATCCCTTTGAGCTTGGACCTTTATGTGCTGTGGTACAATTTGTTGCAAAGCAGCAGGGGCACTCGGCAGGATGACCCACAAAAAGCCAAGTTAATCAGGGCACTTCTTTGTGGGATATTGGCTCTCATGCTGTAGAATTCAAAGAGGGTCGTGTGGGTGGCCTCTGCCTCCAGGCTTTAATGAGAATGAGTGAATACATCAAGATGGCTAACTTTGGTCTCGCTAAGAGGTCACCCAAAATACACAAAAGGCAATCCAGAGGAGCTAACCCACACCACATCTCTAGAAGAGGAGAGCAGCACAATTCGCATAGCAAACACTGGGCAGCCACACAAGCTCTGAATATTTCTCCAGTTTGCTGTTACTTCAGTTTTCTTTCTTTCTTTCTTTCTTTCTTTCTTTCTTTCTTTCTTTCTTTCTTTCTTTCTTTTCTCTCTCTCTCTCTCCCCTCCTTTCTCCCTCTTTCCTCTCCCCACTTTTGTTCTCCTACATTTGGGGCCTTTTAGAGAAAAGGTTGAGTAAAATGAGACATAATAGAGGTTTTATAGAAATGTACATGGTCTGGAGAAAGTGGGAAGAGAAAATTTTTTATTCTTCTGTTATAACACTAGGACTTGTGGTCATCCAATGAAACTGAAGGTTGGAAGATTTTGGACATATTGAAGTTCCTGATTGGTCTTCAAGGGCAACCTCACATAGAGAACGCTGCAATAATCCTTTCTGGAAGTTACCAAGTCATCTTTGTCCAAAGCAGGAGCTGAAAAAAGACATTCATAACTACCAAGGCCACTTGAGCCTCCAGAAGCAGTGTTGAATCCAGGAACACCCTCAAAGTAGGTTGTTGAACAAGCATCTGCACAGGTATGTGCGTATTCTACACAGTTTCAGAATATAGGGAAGCAAACTTATGCATTAGCAAGATTGTTTTGACAACAGTCATGTGCACACACACATTGCAAGAGCAGACCACTGAGTTAAATCCAACAAATTTCTTGTGCCAGCAATACTCCACAGTCCTCTTGTGCAAATAGGGAGACACATAGGAAGGAGAAGGAGGAGAAGAGAAATTCTGCTGCATGAGTGGAGACTTTTCTGCTCACACAAGGACTTTGTTTATAGAATCATAGAACTGTAGAGTTGGAAAGCATCCTGAGGGTCATCTAGTCCAACCGCCTGCAATGCAAGAATCTCAATACATGGTCCCCCATCCAATTTGAAACCACGGATACAGGATCAGCTTTCTAGAGAGATTTAGTGGTACAAATGTTGAGAAACTGCACACCCCCCTTTTATTCCAGGCATGTACCTATGGCTATGTCACATGCTAGAAACTTCCCTGTTCATTCAGGCTTTCCAACATTAAAAGCCATCTATTTGGGGAAATTGTATTAAAAATGCATGCATGTTAATGAAAATACCATACAAAATTGCACCAGATTAAGGGAAATTGCATGCAGAAATGTGGACGCTAGGCAAAATAGCATGCAGAAACTTGGTTGATAGGAGAAGTTCTCACTGACATGCTGGTGAATTTTCAAAAGGGCTTCTCCACCCTTCAAATAGAAATCACAAACTGATGTGGAAATGTGCAGAACCAAATTTAAGATTAGAAAAATTAGAAACTGGGAGAAACTAAAATTGACAGACTTGCCCATCCCTACTTAGGGCTGTTAACTATTTTTATTTGACCCCAAAGTGCTGATAACATGATGTGAAGACATATCCTAAACATGCTTACATGGAAATACGTTAAGTCGCACTGTGGTGAATGGAGTTTATTCCCAGATAAGTCTGCACAGGACTGCAATCTTAACAGTGTAGATGTTTAACATACAGTTTAAAGACACTTGGGAACTTGCTTTGAATTTTGACATTGCTACATCTCCTTCTATACATCTAACACATTTAAAGATGAGAAAGTAGCACATAAAAGCTTCCCTCCCTACTTTCAGTTCCTCCTGTTTACATGTTCGATCGGTAAAAATCAAAGATTTATAAAAAGAAAGTCTTTAAAAGATGCAGTAAATTACCAGACCCTAATAAAGATGCACAACACTTTGCATAAGAAAAAAGAAAACACACACAACTCAGTTCTGTCAGGTTCTTTAAGTTCTCTAGGTTTCACCCAGCATGATTTTAATTGGCTATGTCATGCAGGATGCCATTTGGAATATATGTTGCCTGCCGTGATAAGTGGAGGAGAATTTTAGTACCTTATGGATTCTTGCTGAAAAGGCCAACCTGACTGACTGATCAGGGGTGGGTGTGGGGGAGTTAAATTGTCTAAAAGGAACAGAAACTGTTGGAAGAATTTCAAAGGTCTTTCTTTAAAATGGAAATCATATCATATATTAAACCTTAGAAGAGTTGTGTGTATGTGTGTGTGTGTGTGTGTGTGTGTGTGCACCAAGTTGTGCACATAGAATATAATTCAATTTTATCAGCTATTTCCCTTTTGGTTTCAAGAGGAGGATACATAGGCACATCCAAACAGCCAGCCTTTGGATAATCTGTATGATGATAGGGTTAAAGGAGGAGCGTTGATGGCTCTTATGCTTCTGAATGCCTCATTTTACGCTTTCAGCATAGGAGGAAGAGAGTGAAGAGTAGCAAGGGCCATTGGTGAGTTCTCTGTGGCCAAGTGTCTCAAGGAACTATGGCTGCTGCTGACTTGCCAAAGGGATATTCATTGGCTAAGTGCTTACTGCTTTGAATGAATCCCAGGTCACAGTGGGAAGATGTCTCTGCCTTCCATGAACCATATTAGATGTGGCATTTGGCATCGCATCAGCAAAAACATATCTACTGGAGCACACTCAGATTGGCCAAGAAAATCCTTGGAACATGGCTGTGGCATGTTCACTAAAACAGACCCACAGTAACTCTATCAGGGGTCCATATGGTGCGCCAAATGTCAACTCTAAAGGGAAAAGAGCAGTGTGCAGGAGCAGCATTGAAAGCAAAAGGGCTTGGCAAGTAGGTCTGATTTGGGAGGTGAGGAATAAGACCATCTCCCACTCTTTTTTCAAGGCGACACTCAACGATTAAAGTTATTTATGAGTTGAATGTGAGAAGCGCATAGCCAAAGCACAAAACAGAGCAGGCTTTGTTTTGAATACATGATCCTTGCAAACTAAAACATTTATTACAGCAGTAGCTTTCATGGACCAGAATCTACTTCATCAGATACTAGGGGTGGAGGGAAATTGTTTCCTTTGCTTTTGCAATGAACTGACCTCAGCCAATGCTCCTGGGCTGGTTGGAGGATCAGAACACAACACCCACTCAGATTGTGCACATCTCTGCGCCAACCTTGCTTGCTGCCTCATGCTTTCCTCCTTCCTTCTGGTAAGTCACAGCAGTGCTGGTGACAGGAGTGACAAGAAGTCAGGTAAATGCCACAGTATCACTGAAGCTTGGGAGACAGGTCAGCAGTACACAAACAAAACATTTGAAGAAAGCCCTTTTCCTAAGGTGATCCAGCCTGTTGAACTCAAGTATCCCGGAAACAAGGCCAATACCCATTTCAGCAGTTCTGTTTTATTATATTCTCTCTTGCATGGTTTGCTGGTCAAAAGGCCCTTGTCTGTTACTTCAGAATCTAAGGACACACAAAAAGAGGTTTATATAAAACCACATTTGTAATTATGATCTTGATGCTCTTTAAAGCCTGCAAGACTATAATGAAACTCAGATGCTCAGCTTGACAGGTATTTGCTATAATGGAATCCCAGGGGACCTGCTGACAGCTACCTGCCATAAAATTCAAGTCTACATTTACCATCAAAAAGGTTTCTCTGTCACTGTGAATTAATGCATTTAGGGCATATAGATAGTCTCAGTTTTGTGAATGGGGCTCATTCATCTGGAAATGAATTAAACCTGGGAACAAAGAATTTTCAAAGTAGCTGAGAAATTCCACTTCAGGTACTCTCTAAGGAAATAAATGAGTAGTTCTACCTGCAAGCAGAAATGACAAATCAGCTTGGAGTGGTGCCATTTTTCACAAGGCACAGATGTGCCAGAAAAACTAGAGAGGGCAAATTAAAAACAAAACAAGCCTTAACATTTCATTTGAAGCAGGTACTAAAAAGTGGCGAATCCGTATCGTGTTTTCTTACAGAAATGGCTTTGTGGGCACACCAATCGTTCAGTTGTGTGATCAAATAGCTCACTCCCAAATCATAAATATATCACTAATTTAGCCTGCAACATATGAGGAACACCCCTCTCATGCTAGGATCTATTCCTAATTGACTTTATTTTGGAAGGTCAGCATATATCTTTCTTCACACTGACCAAGAGTCAGTTTTCATAGCCAAAAGAATAAGAGGAAGGCAATGAAGATGGTCTGAAGTATGGAAAACAAGTCCTACAATGAAAGGATGAAGGAACTGAGCGTGTTTAACCTGGAGAAGAGAAGATTGATGGGTGATATGATAGCACTCTCCATTGGAAGAAATTTATTGTAGTCAGGAACAGTATGTAGGGAGGCTGAGGTTGAAGAGGCAGAACTGAATGCAAATGACTTTGAAGGCAAAAAAGAGTAGGGTATTAGCATGTTACATTCAATGAATGTACCATCTGTGCACATGAAGAGTTGAGACATACACTTGTCCCGCTATTCACATGTAATGATAATCAAGTGCACAGTCTGCTACCTGTGTGCATAGTAGCTGACTTGTGAAGGTAAAGGAGCCTTGACAGTTAAGTCCGGTCGCAGACGACTCTGGGGTTGAGGTGCTCATCTTGCTTTACAGGCTGAGGGAGCCAGCGTTTTTTAAAAAAATAATATTTATTACTTTCCAACAAATTGAACATACATAGAAAAAGAAAATAAACAATACAATACAAAAACAATACCTAACACTAAACTAACAAAAACAATTTAAACTAAGAAAACAAAACAAAAACGATTTAAGCTAAGAAAACAAGACAGAAACAATTCAAAACACATCAGATAATTTCAATCTTTCATTCACTTATTTCCATGACCTCCTCACACCTCCCTTTTTGTATTCCATTTCTATTTAGTTGTTTCAGCGATTCCTTTCCATCTTCCTCTGCTTTCCATCCTATAATTATCATAACACATTTTAACCTTATTTTTTCCTTTAATTCTCTATTAATCTACTTATACTTAATTCTTTATAACATTTCTACTGAAGCCATATAACGTCATTCCAACATTTTTCTAACATTCATTAATTTTACAATATTTCTGTAAATAATCTTTAAACTTTTTCCAATCTTCTTCCACCGACTCTTCTCCCTGGTCTCAGATTCTGCCCGTCATTTCCGCCAATTCCATGTAGTCCATCAACTTCATCTGCCATTCTTCCCGGGTGGGTAAATCTTGGGTCTTCCAATACTTCGCGATGAGTATTCTTGCTGCTGTTGTAGCATACATAAAAAAAGTTCTATCCTTCTTTGGCACCGATTGGCCGACCATGCCCAGGAGAAAGGCCTCTGGTTTCTTCAGGAAGGTATATTTAAATACCCTTTTCATTTCATTATAAATCATCTCCCAGAATGTCTTAATCCTTGGGCATGTCCACCAAAGGTGAAAGAATGTGCCTTCAGTCTCGTTACATTTCCAACATTTATTTTCGGGCAAATGGTAAATTTTTGCAAGCTTGACTGGTGTCATGTACCACCCTCAGCAGCAACCTCAATGCTGCGTCTACAGCAACCTCTAAGCAAATAGGAGGGAGCCAGCGTTTGTCCATAGACAGTTTTTCCGGCTCATGTGGCCAGCATGACCACTTCTGGTGCAACAGAACACCGAAACCAGAGCAGCACACAGAAAAGCTGTTTACCTTCCTGCTGGAGCGGTCCCTATTTATCTACTTTCACTTTTTGGCATGCTTTCGAACTTCTAGGTTGGCAGGAGCTGAGACAGAGCAATGGGAGCTCACTCCGTCGTGGGGATTCGAACCGCCAACCTTCTGATCGGCAAGCCCAGGAGGCTCAGTAGTTTAGACCACTGCGCCACCTGCATTCCTTACACCAATCAATAAATGTACAGTTTTTCACACAAACACTTGTGCAGGTGTACAGAAAGCTTGTCCCTGTGTTCAGTGTAATGTATGAACAGGAAGCCATATTCCAGACCTCCCAGCCCCATGGATATCTTTCTTGTCTTTCTGTCAGTTTTTCATTTAAAAGGTTGTTAGCAGTGCTCCCCCCCCCTCCCCAAATAGCGTGCTGCCTTGAAGCAAACCAAACGTTGGATTTAAGCTTATAATACTCTAGAGAAAAATCTGTCAGCCTTAACAGCAAACAAGGTCTCGTTTAGATCCTGCAATTATCATACAAGCAAACAGTTGGTGTTTGCACAATCTTCATTGCCAGGTCATAACAGCGAGTGCTATCCTACTGAATAAGAAGAGATTTGGGGATGAATTACAAACATTGGCAAAACCTTAACAGTAAGTGTGAAAGGCAACAACAGATCATTAGGCAATTGCTCTGTTGCAGGCAATTTAGATACTTTTTTAAGCCAATAGTTATCTTGACACACACAACTAAGCAAAGATGGATATGCCAAGGGTCAAGGTAGATAGTTCTAGGCTTCCCACGAGCTGCGACAATAGAGGTTTCAGGGGGGCAGAGTCTCTAACATAAAGACTCCTCCTTTATTACTCTCCCTGGCTTCAATTTGATTAAGATTTGAGCAGGACTGGAAAAGCAGTGAGGTAAAGGGATGCTTAACCCTCTCCCCTTCTGTTTGGGCAGCAATTTGAGGTGCTTTCTTAGGTGCTCTTCTCACAATCAGAAAAAGAAAAAACCAGCAGATAAAGGCAAAGAAGGATCCCTCCCACCAGTCCCTCCATCCTTAATCCATTGCTCTTCCATACTTGAACTGCAGGCTTCCAAGGCTGCTTTACATGAAAAAGATGGGGGAAACACAGAAGTTTGCTTCATAGCACCCCACCCACAACATCACAGTTGCCACCAGCCCAGATCCCCAGACCTCAACATATTGAGTGGAAGCCTTGAAATGGGAGCTTATATGCATACAGGTGTATGAATCTGTATTAAGCTTGCCATATGTCCGGAAAATTCTGGACATGTATGGAAATTGGATACCTAAAATGGCGCCCCGGGGAGGGTTTTCTTCTTAAAATTTCCAGAGATTTCCAGAATTTTTGGGATGTATGGCAGCGGGTGGGATATTTCAACACACACCCACACACCCTGTGTCACATGGCACAGCCCCAAACTACTTGTCTCTTGCCCTGTCTGTCTCCAAGGGCACCAATGGCAAAAGGGGGCGGGCCCAGGAAGAAAGATCGCGTCACTGATGGTAAATGGTGGGGGGCACATGGGGCCAGTCTATGTCTGTGCATGCACGCCTGTAAGTTGCCCTCCCTCCCCGCCCCCTTCCTCTCCCTCCAGCCCTACTACCATTTTCTCCCCATGCCGCCTTTGCATTCTCCGAGTTACCCATGCAGAGGTGCGAGGGGCAGGGTGGGGAAAGGGAGCCCTGGGGCCGCCAACCCCCCCTCCCCAGTTCTGCATGCAGGGCTCCCTAAAGTAAATTTTAAAAGGAGCGGGGAAAACAGAAGGAGCTTTGTTCTCTGGCTCTTATGCATTATTTGATCAGTAGAAGAAACTCCACCTCAGTCAACCTCGATGAACCTATTTTCAAACGGTTTCACAAAACATCACAGATGCCTCCTGCCTTCTCTTTCTTTAATTCAACAACTTTGGGTGTGTGTGTCAGGTATATTACTTTTTGAAATCAGGCAAGCCTAACCTGTTTGATCCACCATGCCATCAAGAGCCCCAATCACACAGGGCTCCTGGTTGCAAGGAGGAACTGGTACATGCACACTGGGAGATACTTAGACTCTAGGGTGACCAAGCATTGATGATAAAGTAGATTGATAAAAGTTGTTTTCCGTATCATAACACTAGAACTTATGGACATCCTATGAAGCCGAACGTTGGAAGATTCAGCACAGATACAAGAAAATATTTCTTGTTGCAGTGCATAGTTGAACTATGGAGCTTGCTCCCATTGGAGACAGTGATGGCCACCAACCTAGATAGCTTTAAAAGAGGGTTGGACAAATATATGGAGAAGAAGCTTTGATGGCTTTGCTCGGCCTCCATGGATGCTTCTGAATACCAGTTGCTGGAAACCACTAAAGGGGAGAGGGTTTGGGTACTGCTGGGCAATTCTCACAAGCATCTGGTTGGCCAATGTGAGAACCAGTAGGTGGGCCTTTGGCCTGATCCAGCAAGCTCTTCTTATGTTCTGTTTGAGCAGATTTGAAGGGCTGTCAATCTCAGGAAGCCTAAGAAGGCAGAGCAATGGAAGTTGCCCAGTAACAGTGCCCACCTGGGCAGCAGACAGACAAGTCATCTGGGCAAAGTCTCCTCACTATGGTGAGACATATTGTATTTCTATTTAATTCTAAATTTGCAGTTTTACATATAGGTAAAGCATATGGAAGTATGGAAGTGAGAGCTGGACCATAAAGAAGGCGGATCGCCGAAGAATTGATGCTTTTGAATTATGGTGCTGGAGGAGACTCTTGAGAGTCCCATGCACTCCAAGAAGATCAAACTGATCCATTCTGAAGGAAATCAGCCCTGAGTGCTCACTGGAAGGACAGATCCTAAAGCTGAGGCTCCAATACTTTGGCCACCTCATGAGAAGAGAAGACTCCCTGGAAAAGTCCCTGATGTTGGGAAAGATGGAGGGCACAAGGAGAAGGGGACAACAGAGGATGAGATGGTTGGACAGTGTTCTCGAAGCTACCAGCATGAGTTTGACCAAACTGCAGGAGGCAGTGGAAGACAGGAGTGCCTGGCGTGCTCTGGTCCATGGGGTCATGAAGAATCGGACATGACTACCGGTAAATGACTAAACAACAACAAAAGCATATGCAAATTTTATGCATATATGTGCTATCATTTGTCCTCTTTTTAATAATGCATCCCCCCTTTTTTAGGAATGTGTAAGTGGCAGCTCCTTTTCCAGACATGCTGAGCCAGCAATGGGGATGGTACCAAAGCTTCAGAGCAATATTATCAGCACATTGAACACCAAACATGTTACTTGCTGGAAATAAATCCTGTTGATTTCACTGCAGAGGTATTACATGAAACACCTTTTGAACTGGAATATAGCTTCCTCTCTATATGTCGACTGTTTTCCATTAACTGATTTGAAACATGATGTCACAGTCCCACGGCTATGCAAGAGTAGACCTATGAAAACGAATGGGATAACGTGGATGTAAATACAGTGGGAACTGGGCCCCAGACTTCTTTTCTTTCGGTACAGATCAAATAGCCTTGTTCTCGTTGTTCCACTTTCTTGGCAGCATCCCATTCAGCCACTTTGGCCCGGCACTTAGCTTTGAATCCCACAATGAATACTTTCAGGTTGCAGTTACAAAGGCAGTCGGTCTTTTACTATAGCAGCAACCTGGAGAGCAAGTGCACCCTTTGGATTCTGGAACTTTTCATTTTATAGGAGAATACTAGTAAACACTGTGCCTGGTGGGATGAAAGAATAGTTGTCTGAGGGGGGAAAAAGAAAGCAAAATGTTTGACTTTCTCTGTGTTTCACAGAGACAAAGATCCTCCACTGCATGTCCTGCACCATCTCCAAATCTGTTGCAGAGCGGCAGTAAAAAATCTAATACAGATCTGGGGGTATGTAGGGGAGGAAAAAAGAAAACGTTCTCTTTCTGGAAGTATGTTGAATATAGCCCAGTATATGCCGCCGTACAGGGAATACTGTGTATTTTTTTTGTTTTTTTTAATAAACTTTTATTTAAGATTCAACAATAACAATAAATCA